TGTTGTTCAGCATGCGGGTGAGTAGAAAATGAAGGCTAATCATGTTTTGGGTGTACTATTCCTTTAAGATAAAAATGTGCTGAAACTTTTAAAATGTGCAATATGAACAAATATTTATTGCAGAGTGAGACTGGCAGCCTGATGAGGCTTGGTTCTAGTCATCTGGTTCCTTTGATCTATACTCAGTTTCTCTCCGTACAAATCTTAGAACATGAACTCTGGAAGCTTGCAGCTTCCAGAGTTGTCACATGGGCTTTATCAACCAATCAGCTGCTAACTTTCGGAAATCTGTGACCAGTTAGAAAAAGATTCATTTATTTTTTGTACTGTTTTGTTAAACTAGGGAGAGAAAAGAACGATCTACTGCAGATGAAATGCTATTGCTGAAACAGTTTCTCATTTAAGGTATCCAGTATTTAAATACTAATATTTAAAAGGACTGACAGAGTTAAAAGATTAAATCTGAATGAGGGAATTCCATAGGAAAGCAGTCATTTTTGTCTTTTATTCCTCTTGAATCCTCTAAAAAGTCACCTGCTTAGTTTATGCCTCCTTGATTGAGTTAAAAGCACTTTATTCTAGATCTTCCAGATTGATTTTATGCAAACATTTACTTGTTAATTTTATTTTCTGGGGCTCTGATTCATATGATGAAACCCCCGATGAGCCATGCTATGGATATAAATCCAGGAGGGATGGCTTCCTGAGCTAAACATCTCTTGTTCCTCTTTTTCATCCAGCTCCCACACAGCCTAGCACTGCTCAGATAAAAACGATAAAACTGTCTGATTAAAATTGTCAAACACATCTGGCTACAGCATCAGACACTGGATCTGTAAAGAGGGTTTTCAAAAAGAGAGCTACATGTGAAAGTGTTACCCTGCTGAAGGATATAGAAATTATTTAGCAGTCCAGAGTATTTCATCTGGAAAGGACTCTGGTCAGCCAGCTCATTTTAAACATCAAAACTATTCTAAGCATTTTTCCCAATGAATCCTAATCGTGAACTGATAGGAAATGGAGCTGAAGGCCTCTCCTAAGCTGAAGGCTTAGGACATTTACTGTAGGTTTTGGATAAGAGGATGCTTTGGCAGATCTGAGGGGCCCATCAGTAACGTTCCAAAGGGGTAAAAGTTTTCATTAAAAAAATGAAGGGAAATTAAATTTCCATTGAAATTTCAGGAGATAATGACAGCTAGCTTTACATTGGGGGTATTATAAACCAAGATCCTTATCAAAGTCTTAACACATTGATCTGTGTTGTAAGAAATAAATCTCTTCTTTGTGATAGTAATAATAAATCACATATTTATTTATCCTTCTTTAGTAAAGCACATGTTTTAACCCTTTAAACAAAAAAAGTATAATCAAAAATTTGATAACACTATGTGAAGAAGTTTAAAGCAGTGTAAACACTTATAAAGCATAGAGATTGTGTGTAGGGGGGCGTGGCCTACATATATCCCAGCAGTAAGATGTGTTTAATCTGAATTTGATAAATTCATAGAGAATATGCAGAATTAGCTGCACAAAATCTGGTTGTTTTACCAAAGATAATGCCAAAATAAGCAGCTTTTTATAAGACTAGTCTGGTTAGTTAAAAGTTCAGACCTGTGGTTTGTTGATCATGTGAATTACCTGAGGTTGGGGTTTTTTATGGTTGTCTGTTTAGAACTGAAGCAGCTAACTGTGTCCTTACAACAGTGAGGCGACTGCTACAGCACACAGACTTTGCAGAGCAATTACTGTTCCTGCTGCTCTTAAAGCCTACTATAAGTGTAATTGTTTCACAACCATGCATTTGACTTCCTAGCTTCCAGTCTTCTGTGTCCTCTGTTTTCACTCTTGTGTTTTTTCTTACTTCAGGTCTGGAAGCTTATCTGATAACTTTAAAGAGATCTACTACTTTGTGAAGAACCTTACGGACCGATTCGTGAGGCAAGTATGGACGCACATTTGAACAGAAAATGTTGTTTTATTGTGTTTATACCTTAACTGGATTATTAAATTCCAATTTCAGGATGAATTGTGCAGATAATACATGGAGCAACATGCAATATTACTTTAACCCCTTCGATGCCTGTTGTGCAACTACTGGATTATTAATCGGATTATTCGATTATTGAAACAATCGTCAACAAATTTAGTCATCGATAATCATCAACTGTAGTATGGAGACTAAATTATGCCTTTAGCTAACAAAGCAACACACTTAGAGGAGTAATTATATCAAACTTGTTAAAAAAAAGATATATAAACATTTTGCTTTGAAGATAAAAACATTTTGTGGAAAAGTTTGAGTTTCAACTGGTTCAATTAAAAAATATATCTTCTTTAAGAAACCTTTTGCTATCTGATTATTAATCGGTTAATTGAAACATAATTGACAGATGAATCAATTTGCAAAATGATCGTTAGTTGCAACCCTAGTTGAAAATATGCAGCAAAAAGTTTGAGTTATGCAAACAGGGAAGATAGCATTTGCATTCCCTCAATGCCAGTTATTACATATTAAGTGTGGATCTAGGGAACCTTTGGAAAGCACTTTTTTTTGTACACCTGGAACGTGACAATGGATGTTATTATGATTGTTATAACTGTTTTAGCATACTTAAATATTAATTTATTTCATCTGTTCAATGGCAGAAGTAACAGTCTACGTTTGGCAAACGTTTAATGGCAAAAATTAAAAATTATTTTTATATATATTACATGTAATATAAATTCTAGCACCAAGGGCTTAGAATGAAAAAGAATTGTTCCTCTCAAGGAAAAGTAAAACTGTCATAAGTTGGGAAAATGGAGTACTTTAACAGACTTCTAAGCTGTTTTATTGGATAAATGACATCATTATTTGCCGTCTGCCGCACAGATTTAAAGGACTTCCCACCTGTTTTCCAAACGATCTTTTCTCATCCTTTTCTAGTCCTAATTAATAAAAGACAAAAGCGTTAAAACAGACCCGAAGTGCTCAGCTTGCATAATGTTTGAGTCAAATGGCGCCTGCCAGCACAGTACAGACGGTAGCGCCACAGCCAGAATGAAGTGGTTGGTTGAAAAAAATAGCAAAGGCACCAGGTGGGAGTGGGTGGCAGAGAGGAGCAGTCTTCTGGGCTGTGAGAATGGCCATTTGCACCGGGGGGGTCCGGCTCCACACTTATCCCCTGCTTCCACCACAGAACGGCTGACAGGCAGACAATGTACAGTAAAGCAAAAGAACACTGGAAGGCGACGGGGACAATCTGCTAAACAATGCTCGCTCACCAAGAGCACTTCTGTTCTGCCATGTGGAGCAAACTGGACTCCTTCATCACCCAGCCTCCCCCCGTCGCCTTTCTAACCAGGAATAAAACCCACCACCATCGTCAGATTTCTCCTTGTCTTTGGCATCTTCATCCCAAGTCTTTCTTAAAACAGAGAATCTCGAATGTTGCTTCACATCAGGACCCCGCCCCCGCTCCTCATCTGTGACCTTAGTCGCCTCTTATTAGGTCCACATATGAACGCATATTGGTTCTCCTCCCTGGCGGATCTGGTCCAAAGATTTTGCGGCGTGTTTGTGGGGGAGGATGGCGACTGGGCCATGTGTCATGTAGTTGAGAAATATCAGCACCTCTCCTTATGCTCCAAAGGCTTCACATCTCTGAAGGAAACACTTGTGTTACTTGATTATAAGAAGTTTTAAGTAGCTCAGGAGGAAGCCATCCTGAGTGTCACACTTCAACTCATAAGATCTAGTTTTGGGGAAGTTGCTCAATTCTTATTTAATATTTTAGCAAGAATACCGGTCACCCGAAACTTCCAGTTAAATTTGCAATGCATCTAATTTTATGGTATTTTTAAAATCATGTTTGCATTTCTAGATGGTCGCTGCACCATAGAGCTGATTGGATTTAAAAGCCACTTAAGACACTTTGATATGAATAGAAAGTGTCTTATAAGACTTTTTTTTTTTTTTAATACTGCTTATTTTTTGCATTAAAAAATCAAAAAAAGTATGCAGTGATTTGGTTTGAGCAGTCTTGAAACTTGAGTGTAACAATGCATTCAGCTCCGAGGAGAAAAGCTTTCGCAGAACAGAAAGTGTTTTATTGCCCCTCTGCTCCATAAAAAATAATTCGGTTTTCTATGTTTTGTTATTAATGCCCTTTTCTTCCGTGAACGTCTTGAAATTGCCTTTTTATTCTTTTTAAAAACTAAAGACAAAAAATAAATATTTTGAGAAATATATTTCAAGTTATTATAAGATGATTTAAATGGGACAATGCTGAATTAGAAGCTTTTATAATCACTTGTACCAATTAAAGCCTTCAGGCATTTTGTAGTTTTCTTCTTAGATGTGGTAGAAAGCCTTATTATCTTTTATCATGTCTGTTACATTTTTTCTTTTCTGTATCCAACAATACCGTAAATATTTAATAGTAATATAGCTAGGCTGATTTTTCTTGGCCGCAGACTTTTAGCTGAGGAGGATAATATTGTGACTTTTTGCTTTCCTGCTCTCCCAAAGGAAAACCAACTGAAAAACTTATTTTGAATATATTGAGCTCTTTTACACAAATATGTAGGAATCCCGTTTTTAACTATTTGAATTCTGGCTCTATCTCAGGTGCTCTTACAATTAGTCCTGCAACTGGTTAAAATGTTTAGAGGCTTGATAGATTATTTAATTTCTAAAATTCAAGACATATTATCTTTATATATATATATATAAAGGCAGTAAAAATACAGTTAATTTTGGGATATTTGCACAGAAACCACCTGTTTTTTTGTAAGCAGAAATCTGTGAGCATCTTCTGTTCTATTATGTGCCTGAGGTTTCTTGGATATAAATAGAACTGGTGGACAGGTGAGTGGGTCCAATCTGATGCTACGTAACCGTATAGAACCACAGGTACAGGGTGTACAAATAAATAATGTTTGTCCAGCAGGATGTTTGCGTGTGACTCATCATCATATTTCTTGTCTGATTAATCACTTCCTCTGTGTCTCAGAAGCTGCTTCAAGCCATGCACTATAATTAGCTGACATTAAAGAAGCTCCTTCTGTTTGCATCATTATTTATGCATTTTTGAACTTTAAACAAAATCTGTCTCCGCTTTTCTGTTTTAATCTTTGTGTTTACTGTTGTGATGAAGTCCATTGGTTTCCAGGTTTTAACAGATTTTTTTTGTGTGACCTTTGTTTTTTTCACAGTGATCGAATGAGGGTCTCATTCATAGTTTTTTCATCCCAAGCTGAAGTTCTGCTGCCTCTGACTGGAGATGGGTAAAAGTGAAATAAATTACTAATTTAATCTGAAACAAAATAAAAGTTAAATTATATTTGAAAAAGGAATAACTTGATATTAATCCATACAACACGACAGCTGTCAGAGTTTTTTTTTTTTTTTTTTTATATTGAGGACTTATAGGAGAGCTATATAATGATTCTGAAATGTATGCTAACTTTTTATGGTTTTAAAAAAAATATTTTTGTATAAATGCTCATTATGCATAATAAAATATTCACATAACCATGTATTTATTGAACTTCTGTGGAAATCTATGCAACATACTTGCTATTAGATAAGTACAGTGAGACGTATATGCTAGTCATGATTCTTGAGGGTTATTAAGGAATTGTGTTTCCTAACAGCCAGATGGCTTTCCGTATGATCGAAAGAGCAGATGCTGATTTGAAATATCACATTTTAAAAACAATTTATGCATTTAATAAAGTACTGTATCATATATTGCAAATAAAAAATATGATATGTTTCAAAGCGGACAGGGCAAACGTTTAATTAACAATTATTTGTTTGTTTTTTTCTGTCTGATAATCGACCTAATGCATGAATTTTATCTTATCTAAGAGTTTTGTAACTCTGTTCTATGGAAGAGGTTAGTGCCACTGGAAAAAAAAAAGGTTAACTGATTTTTAAATTTTATTTTAGTATAAGAAAAAGTCAGAATTCTGACTTTTTTCTCAGAATTCGGACTTTAATCTCAGAATTCTGACTTTTTTCTCAGAATTCGGACTTTAATCTCAGAATTCTGACTTTTTTCTCAGAATTCTGACAGATAACAAACATGTAAGCATCAAGCCATAGCCATGTCTGTTTAGTGACTAGCTCTCTGGTTTTAATGACCTTCTGCTCCTCCATTAATGAGGGGACCCCTCGGGCACGTAAAAAGTTGCTTAATTCTGTCATTTTCCACCAATGAGTCACTGGCCCTCTCAAACAACTCACATCTTTGTCAGTGAAGCTGAGTGCTCCCACATATCTTCCTTCATGGTGCCCATCTACATTAAGATCCAAAATTCTGACAAAAAAGTCAGAATTCTGGGAAAAAAGTCAGAATTCGGACTTTTTCACATATTAAACTGAAAGAAAATTAAAAAATCAGTTAACTTTTATTTAATTTTTTCTGTGGCCCTAATCGTCTTCCCTACTGTTCAAACCTAAATCAGATGACAAAATCATTAAAGCTAAATTATTTTATTTGTGTTCACTCTAAGTGTTTTAAGAAGCCATATTTACTGATGATTCTGATGGCCCATGATTTCCCACAACTTAAAGGATTTTAGCTTTACAACTGGTCTCATTGCTGTAATTAAGAGTTTGAGAAATATTTAAACCTAAAGCACTAAAATCATGGTTTTATCAATAGACGAAAAACAGGAACACCGAAGCATTACAAGAAAACTCTACCCACATGTGACGTTTTTTACTGTTTAGGTCTAAAATTAAAGAGGGATTGGAACGCTTGTACAATATCAAACCAGCAGGTGAAACCTACATGCATGAAGGAATGAAAAAGGTGAGTTAAACTTTTTGTTTCTGCTGTTCAGCTACTTAACTCTGATTAACAATGCAATCGCTCAAAAAGATATCACTCAGAAGTTCAGATAAAATAAATAATTAGGAAAAACAGGCTTTAAGAAGGGAAGCAAATCTGGAAGTTTTGGGGGTCAAAACATCTTTACAAACAAAATTACTTTCATTCTCTGGAAAATAGATTATATAGAAATGTAACAGAAGAATATAAGCAGTAGATTACATAAATCGGTAAAGAAGAGTAAAGTAAATGAAACCATCCATCATCTATATCTGCTTTTCCACCTTGCAGAACTCAAATAAACTAGTGTTTTTTTTATTTTTGGATTGTGGGAGGATGACATAGGAGAACCCACAGTTCTTCCCCTAAAGATAAGGAGTGCTTATTTAACCCTGGACAATAAATACAGGATAATGCAGATTTATAGCAGTTAAATTATTGTTGGTTTGCAATCAGTTAAAAATATAAAAACTGAAAACAAACTACCGTAAATTCCGGACTATAAGCCGCTACTTTTTTCGCGCTGTTTGAACACTGCGGCCTATAATACAGTGCGGCTAATACATGCTTTTTTCCATGGCGGCGTGTAAAAATATCCAGCATCACCGGCGGGTTTCGGAAGGCTGGGCTGCTGCGGGGTGAAGAGGACCGCGAGTGCTCAAGTGAGAGCGACAAGGATGAGACTGAAGTCAGTGACAGCATCCTGAAGCTGTTCCATTCAGACACCGAGGAAGAGGACTTTGAGGCTTTTAGTGCGCAGGAGGAAGAAGAAAGTGATTAATGACTTTTCTTGGTCGGCTGCAATGTTCTGTGCGTTGTTCAATTAAAGGTACCGGTATATGCAGCGTTATTTGCGTGTTACCGACACATACGTATATTTAAATGTGTTACAGGTAGTTTGAAAAAAAAAAAAACATTCATAACATGTACCATATTTGTTTGTTTTATCATGCAGATTAAATCAAACGTTAAAAAATGCTCACGTTTAATTTTTTTATTTGTAAATACAACGTGGGAAACCTGCGGCTTACAATCCGGTGCGGCTTATAAAAGTACAAAATTGATTTTCTTTTTAAAATTAGAGAGTGCGGCTTGTAATTAGGTGCGCTCTATAGTCCGGAATTTACGGTAGGTACTGGTATTTTTCGTTTTCCACTTTTTTGGGTGATCATGTGGGATAACTAGACATCCCTCTCCCCAGGGGAGTCTGGAGTAAGTATTTTATTGGAAATATCCAATAATGTAAATAATTTGGTAGCAGTTGATTGAGCTTAATGAGGTAGGAATAGATACTGACTCCTTTTCTGAACACAGAGTAATAATTAACGTGTGAACATGTTGTTTGTTGATATTGTAAATTTGATTATGTTTGAAATAAACCTAAACACATTTTATTTACTGCTGAAGGCTTCGGAACAGATCAAGGCGCAGACCACGAAGTCTTCCAGCATCATCCTGGCTCTTACAGACGGGAAACTGCCAGTTTATGTCCATGAACTCACCGTGAATGAGGTCAGCCTGGCGTTTCTATCTGAAAAAAATTCACATAAAATACTTTTGATTTAATTATTTTCAGATAGAAAACATACTTATTCTTCAAGAGGGAATATTTTTTTTCTCCTTTATTTCAACTTTAAGTTGTTTTTATGAGGCTCTCTCTTTGTCTTTTTGCCTCCACATCTAACTTGCTGCATATCTCTTGCCTGAGCTGCAGGCTGATGAAGCCAGGAAATATGGAGCTCGTGTTTACTGCGTTGGTGTCGACGCCTCTGATGAGAAGCAGGTAAGTTGCTTTTAGTCTTAATCTGCAGCCACTGTACTGCTAGAGAAGTGTGTGGCTTAACAGAGGGGAAGGGTTCTGAACTTGGGTTTCAGCTGTGAGGAAAAAGCCTTTTGAAGTTGTTATATTGACATAGGACTAAACATTTTTATTAAAGGGGTATGTCCTGATAGTAACACAGTGGGACACAAAGAATAATCTGCATTTCGCATAATTTGTGTTTTTCAGAGACATAAACTGATGCTCTTCAAATAGTTTTGATCATAATAATTACCTTTATAAACTGTTATTTCATTCCTAGAGTTATTTTCTGTACTGTATCTTTAAGTGTCTGGCCATCTGAGTGTTACTCCAGTCCGGCTGTGCGCTTCTCTTGTCAGGGATGTCTGGAGTTTCACAATTTCTTTTCCAACATGGTGGCCCGTCTCTTGTAACCATTGGTAACCATCCTGCCACGAGCCATCATTAAGTAAAAAACCAAAGGCAGTATTGCTCCCAGTTTCTGCTGCAATCATTTTTTTTTATAGTTGAGCAAAGTGTTTGCCACAGTCCTGCCATCTGCTCCATCTCCTCCTGCCCGCGACACGAGGAAAGACGGCATTCAGTCATAAAGAGGGAAACAGAAGAAGGCAGAGAGCAGTGTTAGATTAGCAGCACTTCTTGTTTATTTCTCTTTTCTACGATTCCAACAGCTTTCTGACATCGCCGACTCCATAGACAACGTGTTTCCTGTCAAAGATGGCTTCCACGCTCTCAAAGGCATTGTCAACTCTGTAAGTTTGGCCGCTCTGCATTTCTTTTCTGAGTTTTTCTATATGAAAACAAGAAATACGTAGAATCTTTTCCACCGCAATGTGAGAAAACAATTGCACCAACATTTAGGTAGGCTGCATGAAAAACGCTTTTGAAATTCAATTGAGTAAGGCTATATGGAAAAATATGAGCTGCGGTAACATAATATTCAGTTAGTAAATCACTGTCAGAGAGTAAGAGTCCCTTACAGTGTTAACAACCAGCCTCTGCCTCCTCTGCCAGCCAGTTAGTGATACTTTCCATTTGTCGCAGCATTCAGACTGAACACTGTCAGCCTAGGTGGAGCTTTGTCAGAATCTCCTGCCCTGTAGAAGTCTCTGGCCCAAGTGGAGCGTTGCATCTGCAGACAAGGCCAGCAGTGTTTAGGAAAAGGCCTGAACTACACAGAGCTGTCAGACATGCAGCTGCAGGGACACAGAGCCAAAGGGTGGGACTTGTTTCTGATGTATGATGAAGAAAGCACTGAACTGTGATTTATGATGCTGCTTTCAAAGAGACTGACGTGTGCATAAGGGTCTAAATTTGTTGCTCTAAATCATTGTTTTGCAAGACACACACAAAGAAGAATGATGGTTCCAAAAATGGAAATCTTTCTGTTCCTGATTGTATTTTTTCTGGCTTTAAATATGGAAACATTGTTTTATGAATCCTCTTATTTGGTTTTGAAATGTAAGCATTTTTTTAAGCTGCAAAAACGAATTTTGAGTGTGTAGAGCTGGATTATTACTTACATGTAAACCATACTGGATGCTGCATGCAAATCTACATGCAGCAAGAATTCAGATTTCCTGGAACCAAATGGTGTGCAGCAATTTCAGCAGAAACTGCATAAACAGCATAAACATGCTTCCAATTGCCTGTTTCAGAACATTCAGAGCAATGTTGAAAAAGTCCAGCTCTCCTGTCACACCCACCCCCCTGAGGGGACTGAGATCAAGGATGCCTCTAGAATCCAAACGAAACGAGCAGCATTCCTCTCTGATTAGTAATCCTGGATTCCTGGGTTGTTGGCCTCGTCGCTTCTCTGTCGGATTGGGAGGATTTGGGATCATCTGCGCAGCCTTTTTGCTGTAGGATCCCCCTCTCCTCTGCGACCTGCCTGACAAAACTCACAGAAAGAGAGCAGCAAAGTTGGCTTTTAAGGCTCTGAGAGGCTGTTTATAATATTTTTCTGCACTCTGTCTGACCTCTCTTATCTGAGCTGCTGATATTGAGGGAAAAAACCTGCACCTTTATCTACTGAGCCTAATGGGTCAGTTTTGCAATCGTGGAAAACTTTAGGCTTTCTCAGCAATTCCACCCATGATTATTAGTAAAGGTGCGAAATAGTTATTAGAAATCCTACATCCCACATTGCAGTAGCATGGTGTCTTTATATTTGAGTACATTTAGTAGAGAAAACATCTTCAAAATTGACCTAAAATGTTTCTAGAATAGCAAAAGCACATTTTCTATCATGTTTACTCTTTTAGTTGATCAGAATTTATTTAACTTAAGTGAGTAACTTAAAGCTTTCTGTTTTTCAGGGTTGTAAAGACAATTTCTTTAGTGACCCTTCAAAATTAGAGAACAGACCAGAGCAGATATATGTTAATATTTTACAATAAGAAATTGCTTCAAGATTGTCTTTTTTTGCAAGGTTCACTCACCCACATTTGTGGAACTGAAATGAAGCAGAGGATGACTGTGGAAGGCACTTCATGTCCACTGTTTGTAGTACGGAGGATGTATAATGCTGTGGGCTGTTTCTCCTCTGTCAGACCCTGCAAACTATTTTAGGAGTCTGAAACAGGACAGCCTAAATAAACATGTTTTAACCTCTGCTAAAAAACTGAGCGTATCTTTGCCAAGCAGGATGATGATCAAAAACCTGACATTAGAGCAGAGAGACATTGGAACTTTTTGCAAATCTAGCCCAGAGTTTTATTTTCATTAGTTATAAAAGAGGAAATTCTCTTCATCACAGATGCCAAAATTGTGGAAAACACAGTAGCTCATCTTTATTTTTAATTATTTCTCTCTTAATCTATTTAACAAGTCTGATTTCTTAAGACTGTTTAGCTGTAACACTGGCTTAGATATTTGAATGACTTTGGATATTTGGACATCTGCCTTCTCTTCTTCATAGCCCATAAATAATGTTTGCCATCAGATCATGAAAAAATAAAACCAAACTGAGACATGTAATTACCACATTTAGAGTGTTTATTTTAACATTCCCAAATCGCTTCCAATCACATCCGTTAATCATTTAACTAAATGGCTAAATTACAATAAATGCACTGTATAAATTGGTCATTTTTAGTTATTTTTGCACCATAAAAGTTTCAGCTCTTAGAGGGGGAAATTTTGTCCAAACTTCATAGTTTGAAGTCTAAGCAGTAAAACTGTTATTTTATTGGTATAGTCACCCATTTTTTACCCTCCTGTGCACTGCCAAGGAAGTAATTAGAGCAGGAAATAGAGGTAGAGAGGAAGAGCAGCAGATCCATTTCCTCCCAGCTGTCATACAACCCTGTGTCGCACCATCATCCCTAACAAGGCTGCTGTAAACACTTCCATCTTCCATTTCTCAGATTAAGCTTCTGTCCAACATCAAATGAAAGACTCAAATGTCCTCCACTGCCATTAATATGCTTCTTCTTACTCACTCTGCAGTGGGATTTGCATAGTTTTCCCTTTGTTGATTTATTGAATCGTAGAGGGAAGTGCAGCTGCGTGACAGTGCGCTCACACAGGCCTCTTTATATGATAATGCAAGATCCCTGAGAGGTTTTTAATAGAACCAAGGAACAGTAATCGTCTTGCATAATTTCCCCATAAAGGCTGACACAGCTGCTGTTTTACCTCCCGCTCTCCTTTTCCCGCCCAGAGCCAATCAGGAGCGGGACATTTCTCAGGTGTTGCTTCCTGATCTGTTTTCTAAACGTGACAGAGCCAATAACAGTCAGGGACTGATGTATTTATTCCTGCCATGTCCAAGCAACAGCAAATTCATTTGCATTTTCTTTTTCATCCCACAGATATTAAAGCGATCATGTACAGAGATTCTGACTGTTGAACCCTCCACCGTGTGCGTGAATCGTAAGTTGATCCTGTTGTTGAACTTTGTGTTTTAGCAATGCACAGTCAGACTTATACTTGAAAAATATTTTATCCCACAGCACCCACACTGAGAGAGTTTGTCCAAGAAAATTTTTAAAGATAAAATAATAAAAAAGGAGTTTGAGTCTCCAAAAAACTGACACTCTTCAAAATTCCTCATTGCAGTTTTATCTGGTTTTGTTGTATTTCCAGAGTCCTTTGACATCGTTCTCAGAGGGAACGGCTTCTCCAGCGGACGCAGCAACGAAGGTGTCTTATGCAGCTTCATAGTGAATCAGCAAACCATCAGTAAGTTCCTTAAATTTGCTCCAAATCAACTATGGATTCACGTAGTTGTTTTAGAGTAAAACTCTTCTACTGTTTGGTTCCTCTTTCATTGAAAAAATAAAATCAGCGACAGCTTTCCTGTTGTTAAATCTTTAACTGTTAGAGCAACCCACTTGGAACAGTAATTATACCAAAATTGTAAAAAAAAAAAATAATTATTATTATTAATTAATAATATAATAATGAATTAAAATATTTAAAATTTTGCATTTAAAATAAAGATAATTGTTTATGTCTTAAATATATGGTCTATCCAGAACTCCTCATGAAAAAAAAAGAAAATTGAGTGCAAAAGTTTTAGTTACCCCTGGTTTAATTTAGTAAAAAATCAATTGTTAATTGATTAATAGAAAAAGTAATCGACAAATAAACAATTTGCAAAATAATTTTTTGTTGCAAACCTAATTCTTTGACTTTTAGCTTATTTTCACTTTAAAAAAACTGAGTAGTTAATCTATTTTATCAGGATTTTATTTGAAAGACCATCACTCAGATGTGTCAATAAGTGAAAAGCAATATATCCATAGTTTTGATAATGTTTGCAAATGAAACACTGAAAAGTGTGGTGTGCGTTTTTATCCATCTCCTGAACCCTGATTTGATGTAATTTTTGAGGTCTCTCTTTAAATAGGGCTGGATTTTTTTTATTTCACAGCCGTGCATCTCAGCAGCTCCTCCAGAGTTTCAATTGATTTTATCTGACAATAAAATAGTAAAGGTTTTGAATCTCCTTTTTTGCATTTTGTAAAAAGACAAAGTACAGTAAGTTATAGAGAAAACATCTTGAATTAAGGTCAACTTGCTGTATTTTCTTTGGCCTTCAAACAAACCACCTGGTTATGGGAAATAAAATAAAAACAAGCACAGATACCCTGAGGTAAACTAATCATCTATTGGATCATGTGGTTTAATCTGTTTGGTTGTTTTCATCTCAGACAAGCATCCAACTTGAACAAAAGAATCTCCCTCTTTCATCTCCTTCAGCACCGGTCTGTGGCTGCCTCAGTCTACATCCGTAGTGACAAAACTAAGTGGATTAATCGTCCCGTCATTTAATTAATAGTGTTTCATTTTTTTGATAAATGCTAAATGTTTCAGAGGTTGGACGTGGCAAAACGACGCCCCTATCTCGCCGTATCCACGTTGTCTGAATCCATCAGAAGAAAGAGGGTTTATGTAGGTCACTGTGCTCCTTATTTTGAGCTTGCAGTCTGTTCTGTTGAGAAATCCTTTTTCAGGAAGCAAACGGGATTTGGCACCGAAAGCCAATCTTTTAAAGCTCTCATTTGGCCGTGGGATCCGCGGGATCGGCGACTGCCAATGACAACACTTCCATCCCTGACAAGTTATTTTTGATATTTTTTTTTTTCAGCATTTCATCTCAACTAAAATACTTGAGCATATTTTCATTCTCCTTTATAAAAACAGCCCCTTTTCTGAATTAGGGAAGTGGCCATTAGCAGATGTCTTCCTGTTAGTCCTTTCTCAGTTTAGGCTGTCTCACATTCGCCCACTTGGGGCTATTTATTCCCTTATTGGCTTTTGCATGTGTTCAGTCCAGACCTTTTTAACAGTGGGGCACCTTATAATTATGGACAAGCATCATGGCAACTATGGACCACACGCCACATATGTGAAACAGATGCTACGGTCTTCTCCATCAGCAAACCAGTTGGAGGCATGTGCAGAAAAAACTCATCAGTCATGTGAATAATCTCAGTGGCTGCCTTTGTCAACCTTTGATGAGCGCACACACACACAAACACACAAATTATAATCCAATCTGCCATCCCTTTCATTTTTAACCAATACTTTGAGCTAAATAAAACATCAACCCTTTTAAATATTGGATTTATATTTTTAAAGAGAAATAGTTTGTTACTCCTCATTAAAATATAGACTTGTCATAGTTTAAAACATATTAAAATGTTATTTCAACTGAGCCAGTACTGATGCTTGAACCGAACATGCGTTTTATTTTGAACACCAGATGATCAAGGTGTTTGTATAATGTACAAAAAGTGTATCAACGGACCAGATATTAGACTTAGACTTGGACAACTTTTATTGTCATTTTGTATACACAGTGTATACAAAACTAAATTTAATTTTGTACTGCTCACATGATTATATTGAACATAGGTACAAACTTAAGATGTAACCATATTAAATTTCTGATCTGGTACAGAAAATGCAGACATGTTAAAGAGATTTTAAAAGTTAAAACCGAGCTTAACTGTCAGACACAGGTGGGAGCCTAAAAGTTGGAAGGTATCTAATTATTTAACCTGGGTACCTGATCTGCTAACTTATCTGCAGCGTAGTTTATATTTGGAGATGCTTTTAGCCTGTTGTTATCTTTTTAGATATATATTCGTATATGGGCTGCTCAGTAGGGCAGTGGGTAGCACTGCTGTCTTGCAGAAAAAAAGTGTTCCGGGTTCGATTCCCGGCCCGAGGTCTTTCTGCATTGAATTTACATGTTCTCCCTGAGCATGCGTGGGTTCTCTCTGGGTACTCCATCTTCCTCTCACAGGCCAAAAACATGACTGTTAGGTTATTGGCTTCTCTAAATTCTGCTTAGGTAAGAGTGTGTGCGTTTATTGTCCTGTTTGTCTCTGTGTTGCCCTGCGATGGACTGAGCTGGATGAGCTGAGCAGATAAGGGCTTCACATTAAGCAATCTGGTTCCAAAAAAAAGTTTTGTTTTCTTTGTTTTTCAGACAAAAAGCCAACAACTGTGCGCAATGACTATCTACTGTGTCCTGCTCCCGTTCTGTATGATGTCGGAGAGTAAGTAGTTTATTTTTCTCTCTATTGTTTAATTAATTGATTGTTAAAAATTTTGACTTCAGGGTTTGTTTTTCTTTTTTTTTCTTTTTTCTCTGTGATTTTTAAAAAGTTTGGATCACAGTTTACTTGTGAGAAAAGAGAACTTCAACTTTACCAGGATGATCTAACTGGAAATGTTTTATTTTAAAGCTCAAATAGGGCAACAATGAAGCTTTTGGTAAAAGAAACAAATATGCAAAACCACTTATATCCAAAATTAGACAAGAAGCTGATTAGTTAATGAAAGTTTGCTGAGTTGTGTCTCTTTAACGACAATATATATATATATATTTTTTTAGAAATAAGAAAAACGTGAGCATGAAGCTATAAATGAGCATAGTATGTGTAAATGAATTTAGCACTATAGATATGTTCAGCGGCTCGTATGTAAGGTATGATGTTGGCAGGTTCACAAGAGAAGTGTGAAATATCAATGACAGACGTCACATCAACAGTTAGAAAAGGGAGCCTGGATATAGATTCAATATGTTCTATAAACTGGATCTTTTTTTATAGATTGGGAAGAAAGAAGCTCATTAACATGTGCTAAAGAGCAAGTCTCCGGATTTATTTTTAGTGTTGTTGTTTTGGTTAAGCTCTAAATATTTCCCTCTTCTGATAATATTATAACCAAGAAAGGTTCCTAAGAATTTTTTTTTCCTCAGAACAATTTCATATATGCGTACATTTTTTGTGGTTTGTCTCTGGTTTCAGTTTAAGAAACTTGTTTCACTTCTCAGATTCCCTGCTTGCTTTTCTTTCTTTTCCAAACAAACGACGCTTAAGTCTATAAATCATCCATATTTCTGTTAAAACTTGAGCGTGAAGTGGTGGTAAACAGTGCAGAGGGAGAAACACTGCCAGCATAAGACCCACAAAGATCGATGAGAAACCAGTGTAAACACGTGTTTTATTCCAGCTTGGGTGGTTATTGTTTGATTTTTAACGGCATATTTTATAATCCCAAACCAGAGCAGATGATTGCTAAGGCACTCTAGATGGAACAACAGATTTTAATGTCCTTGCTGACTGCAATCCAATCAAAAATGTATGATTATGAGCTCTGCTGGCTCCTCGAGGCCTTTGAGCCCTAAAAGAGATTATTTATCGCTGAATGACGACGATGCTGTATCTGTTCCAAACCAGCTTGAACCTCACCTCCATTAATCCGCCTATTTTTAAAAACACAGCACAGATTAAGGAGATGACATATTATTTCAGCAGAAGCTGAAAAACTTCCTGAATGTAGCTATTTAGATGAACTTCTCACATCTTTATTTGCCTTATCTTATGCTTTACCTTATGCTAACGCAGGATATTGTTAAAACTAGGGCTGCAACTAATGATCTTGCAAATCGATTAGTCTTTTGATTATTTTTTTCGATTAATAATCAGATAGAAAAAACATACTTTAAAGATTTTTTTTTTTCAGAAGTAAACAAGGTGAAACTGAAACTTCTGAATAGAGCATATTGATAGACAATTTTTTAAAAGCAAATGGTTTTTTTTTTATAATTTTGTTGTGATTATTCTGTGGGTTGCTCTGTCAGCTAAAGAGATGTTTCACAGTCTCTATACTCCAGTTAAGGATTAATCGATTACTAAATTAGTTCCACAAGTACTTGAACACAACTGATCTCTTTATTTTGCAGTTTTTACTGTTAACTTAAAAGTTGTTGTTTGGGAATGTGAAAACTCATAATTACTCCAGAAATTGTATTAAATTTGTTAGGTTTTTCAACGATAGAGTTTGCCATTTTTTTCCTCTTGTGCAATGCATGCTGGGTTGATGAGGCGAGGAGGTTCTACTGGACTGGATCTAATGTTTATTATATTAGCTTGAGCTAACAACATTACCAGAGGCTAACATAAAATCAAAATCAAACTAGAAGATGATGAAGGACTGTTAAAAATGATACTGGTGCATCTTTAAGTCGTTGTAACCCATGCTTCTGATACATAGGAGAAAAAGTTTTGATCGTAACAGTAACATTTACTATAAACAGCCTCAGTTCAAAACTGGAGAGTGATCTGGGTTAGCATCTCCAAACAGGAGCGGCACTAAATGGGACAGATGAACCCAGTATTCAGTGGGAAGTTTCAGATCGTTTATTGACAAAATAATAAGACAGAACAGAAACATGGGATGCTGTGGATCAGCGGACCTGCTGCGACTGCAAGGAGAAGGTGGAGAATCGCTGATGTACTGCTAACGAGATGCGGCGCTGAGCCAGAGCGTCCCTGATACAGCAACCTCAGTGAGCAGGCAGGATCCAGGATCCTGCAGATCCAGGTCAGGGAAACAGTTAAGAACAGGACCGTTCTGAGATCTGGGAGTGCGTAGCCCGACTAGGGGTTTAGATCCAAACAGTAACAGACTGAACCAGGGTTCCAGGAATCCTCAGAGCGTTAAGGCAGGTTCAGAGTTCTATCAGTCCAGCAGTGAGCTCAGACAGAAAGGCTCAGATGGAGACAGGCTTAGTGGTTGAGGGATAGAAACAGGACATGGTCCTAGGATAACTGCAGAACTTTAAACTGTTGTTGCTGCTTACCTTTTTTGGTGCAGTAAGTGTTCTACATTGTTTTACTTTGTGAAATTATTGCTACAGACTTGCTAAATCAAACTTCAGCATACTGTATGCATCATGCAATTGCAATAAAAGCCCTCTTTCTATTCTATTTTATAGTATTGTATTATATTCCATAATCCCGTTTTTGAGGTTTGAAAGAATAGTTCAAGGAGAAAAAATGGAGATGGAAAATGGACGACAGACTTGGTTCATATAGCGCTCTTCTTTTTGTGCATTGAACACTTACTCATAGATAAACAGGAACATTGGACTTATGTACCTTTCCCCAAAGGCATTTTGCCATAAGTAAGGAAAAAGCTAGATTCAAATATTGCTGACTTATAGCTGTTTTCCAGCAAAACTGAGTAAATTTCTGCAAGGGTTGCAATAATATTTGACATAATTAAACCCGTTGCATGATGTAAGATACGATCTGGATTAATACTTTAGTTAGAAAAGACCGTTTCCTCTTTTTCATCAGATGATTATTTGGTTTCCATATGAATCAGGTAGGAGTGATTTTCTTATTGCTTAGTAAGTCTTTCAGTGGAATTCTGCTTTCTTTATTCTTCAAGCAGTAGATCTGCTGGATTCTTCTATTTTATCCTGACAGGACCTGATGCCCATATCAAGTACCGCCCCCTTCTGCTTACAGAAAGACCTGCCTAATTAACTGCTGGCTGCCGATGCTGACCCATTAAGCAGTTAGCTGCTATGGGTGGTGAGTAAACACATCTGCTGTAGGGGCTCTAAAAGGATGTGCGACAGATGCAGCCATTCCCTTTTCCACACTCCCCATTTAAATAATTCACCATGCTCTGACAATCCCTGCACCCCGGACCACCTGCATGGAACGGTAAAGCGCAGAAACCTTCGTCTCTGTCCATCTGTCTGCTTCTGCTCCAGCAGCACTACAGGCATGCTGGATGCTCCTTGAACACAACTCTACTCGTCCGTAAAAGAATCTCTCTACACATTCTTTCTCAGGCTCCACTTTATGTCCATGTTTTTTGTCACACATGGGGCCCTTCTCTTCTGAAAGAAACACAGTTTTCTTTGCTGTGATGGGATACTCTGGGTAACATATTTCAGATACAGCAGTCCCTCGAGCTCAAATGCTCAGCTGCAGTTTCCAGTCTACTTCCAGGGGAGCAGCAGCACACAACCCTCAAATCCACCCTGGTTTTCCTGGAATAGCTGTCCTCTGTTGGCCATCGAGCTGTGTGGAAGCACTCTGAGTGGAGGCATCATCTGTGCTGACATCTGTGGCATCAGACTTGAAATGCAGGCATCTGCTAACCCCCCCTTCGTACACACACACACACACACACACACACACGCATCAGCCCTCTATCTACCTCCTTCCCTGCACACGATGTTGGGGCCTCATTTAGAGGTTAAGTGGCTGTGCTCTTGCTGCAGCAGGCATGTCCTCACCTGTGTTTTCACGGTTACAATACGTGGTGAAGAAATGAATTAAAGAGAGGTGACACTGGCTTACATAGCAGGTACAGTGTTCGATGTGAACGCTTGTTAATAATTAAACGGGATGTCCCACAGAGGCACCGGCCCATCTGCTCCTCCTGGGGCACGAAGAATTTTACGGCAGAAGTATCTTGTTGTTGCACATGCAGCTTGTTTGTGTTGCATCAATCAGAGCTACCCTGTTTGATGACTGAACCTAGAGTTATTGGTTTTGGGAATGCGACTGGAACCCTTCTAAGACCATTGGCGCTAGACAGCAAGTTAGAGAACAAGTCCAAAGAAAAAGAAAAACTACAACAACCTGGCAGCGACAGAAAAAAAATGATGGATGGCTTTTCCACTTTTTGTGCTCAACTGACTGGTTTGTTTCTCACTTTGGTGACTATTTGCTCCATGTCTTTGCATCCTCTTTTAAAATCAGCAACAAACGTCTTCCAGAAGTCCTCAGAGAAAACTTTGGTCCTCACCATGGGGTTCACTCTCACTTTAACAATCAAGAACACCAAACATGAACAGGGCCTCATGACTCTTTCCAGAATACAGTCATACATTTCTCATCATGGCATATTTCTGTCAAAATGTGAGAGGAGCCTCTTACAGAAGAAGTTACAGGTCTGTGAGAGCCAGAAATCTTGCTTGTTTGTAACTGACCAAATACTTATTTTCCACCATATTTTGCAAATAAATTCTTTAAAAATCAGACAATGTGATTTTCTGGATTTTTTTTTTCTCATTTTGTCTCTCATAGTTGAGGTATATCTATGATGAAAATTACCGGCCTCTCTCATCTTTTTGAGTGGGAGAACTTGCACTATTGGTGGCTGACTAAATACTTTTTTGCCCCACTGTATGGAGCTACTTCAGATTGGCTTCAGTCTATGACTAATTAAAATTAATTAAAAAATACTTTATTAATCCCAAAGGGAAATTAAATGTTGCAGTAACCCATATATTATTTTTGAAACGGGTGTTGTAGGGGTTGATAGCTCTAGGCAGGAAGGATTACACCTTAAGTTGTCCTAAGAGATTGGAAGGATAAATAAAACTAGCCAAGCTGGAATATCAATCCTAATTTCACATTAGAAAAAAAAATCTGCTGACCCTCAACACCTTCCAGTTTTCCTTTGGTGGTGATCAACCCCCTTATGTATCTTAAAATCAAGCTTTAGGTGCTACTAAACTGCGTAGTCTGGAATTTTCCTTTCATTTACATTGTAAAATAGAGTTCGGTGATTCTGCTTTCACATATTGGAGTAAAAGCCACTAACAGTTTGATCACTGTTTTATGAAATCTACCTCTGCTGAGTTGCAACAGCCAGATTTCCCTAGTGTCTGTCACAGAGGGATCAGATTAAATTAAATGCTTCACCCGAGTGCTCGTCTCTGTCCAAACGGTGGATGTCTGTCTCATGGAGATGGTTTCTCATCTGGTCCCCAGGCTTCATGGGGCAGGTTTCCTCCCCGCCATCAAAAACTTCTGCCATGCAAACTCGTCCAGAGTGATGGCTGCTGGATGCCAAATGACAGGCCTTGCATATGCTGCGCTGTGAATTATTCAACCCCCACAGTTTTCACATGTTTAAAAGAAGTTGGAAAGCCATTAGCGACTCCTTTATTGGGCCGCTGCAGCTGTGTGGCATCATCAAAGCTTAGCGTCATGCTGGACCTACTTTGTGACACATCATAGCGAGCCCTGTGACAAAAGTTTTTCACCCGGGATCCAGAGATCTACGACTAAAATTCCCATAGCTGGTAGAAAGTGTCTCTTTCCATCCAAACGCTCACTGATCCGTGCATCCTGTAACAAGGATCTGCCATTTATTCAGACATTATCACCGACCCACCAAGCAGCTACAGCTCCCTCTTCAGTGTCACTCACTGGCTTTCACTGCAGGAAAGTTAAATGACAGCCAAACTCTTTTATAAATTATTCTGCTTTTTATTTCAAAGCACTCACTCCTTTCTGTTCTTTAAAAGCATGGATTTGGTTCCATTGTGTGGTCTTGTTTCTTGTAGTTCATTAGTTTTACCAATTCCACAAAGTGAAATTTTCAGGTAGATAATGGTAAAAAATGGTGATAAAGAAAAGCTGTTGTATGACTTACGCCTGGATTCTGCCTTTGTTCAGTAACTGAGTGGTTGGTGTGTATGTCTGGGAGAGCAGAGGAAGTCCTGCTCTCTACGGTTGGGTTGTGGTGCGTCCAGGATGTCCAGTGTTGTCAGGATGAAGGGGGCTGGGTTCATCAGTGTAACTCGCTTGGGAGCTTTCCTGCTTCACACTGCAGGGTCTGCACCTCCAGCTTGATTAACAACCTGCCCACCATTATTCTGGACTTAGAGTGTCAGCTAAATTAGCCTCTTTCCCCACTACTCCCCCTCACCTCTTGCCTCACTTTAACTTCTTAGTAACATGCAAAGACTTCCAACACTTTGTCAAAGCAGTGATTACTTTCTTTAAGGATCTGGTAATACTCAACCTTTTTAAAATCATTTGTCCAACAGTTATTGTTTTTCATTTAGGTGACCTGTCCAGGTTATGCACTGCAAAGCCTGTTGGAGATAGGCACTGGCCTAGAAAATGGATGGATGGATGGTAGATGGATGGATGGAAGGATAGATGTTGGATGGATGGATCTATGCCGGATGGATGGATGGATGGATGATGGATGGATGAATGGATAAATGTGGATGGACTGATGGATGGATGGATAAATGTTGGATGGACAGATGGATGGATGGATGGATGCTGAATGGATGGATGGATGGATAAAAGTTGGATGGACAGATGGATGGATGGATAAAAGTTGGATGGACCGACGGATAGATGGATGGATGTTGGATGGATGGATGTATGCTGGATGGATGGATGGATAAATGTTGGATGGATGGATGGATGGATAAATGTTGGATTGACAGATGGATGGATGGATAAAAGTTGGATGGACCGACGGATAGATGGATGGATGTTGGATGGATGGATGTATGCTGGATGGATGGATGGATAAATGTTGGATGGATGGATGGATGGATAAATGTTGGATTGAC